GCTGCATGAGGTAATACTGTATACTCTATAGGGAGGAATTTAAAAAGATCATTTTAGATGAAATTAAATCTAATTGAATTATTTTGACTCAACATCAGTGGTTAAAAAATGTAAGTTGTTTGAAAAACAGAGTACCTTCCATTCCTATGCAATAACCATTACGACAAATAGTATACATGGCTTAAAAAAAGTGTCTTGTCGAAGTGAATATAATAAAGAAGGTTCCAATGGTGTAAGTGAATATATATAAGCACAGAACAAATACAAACATAAATACATAGCGTACACATTGAATGACATCGCACATTTTAACTGTAAATATAAATTATAGTATAATAAAAGATATTTTAGAAAATGTATAATACTAGTAATCTTAGCGAAAGATCTTACAAAATTGGGGCAAATATACGTACAGAAAATACACAATCGTTCAGTGTACAGTGTATGTGGTTTGTGAGTGCTGGTATGTGATAGTGGCCAAACATCGACACACACAGAGCTTGTGAATGTGCCAAAGTATAACCCCACCAATAAACTGATTATTAAATGCCAGGGACATTTGTGGGGGCATTTTACTTGCTGTCTACAAGATGTGAGCTGTTAAAATAATTAAAGTGGCTCGGGGAAAAAAAAAATCAACTTTTTACCGCTAAAGTTAATCTGTATAAAAATTGATTAAGCGGTGCACTTGTAATTACACGCCCTAACACTCTATAACTCGTGGTCTCCCCCACTCTTCCTCCACGACCGTAACGGGGGAGGGGGGCGCAATTGGCGGCCTTCGCTCGTCTTGGGCCAACAAAAACGGGCATCGGTTTTTGTTGTTGTTGTTGATTGTTTTTGTTGTTGTTGTTGGAACCGCGGTTCGCTGTGGGCCGCCGGCTCTGGCGGGGGGTGGCGGCGGCGGTGGGTGGCAGCAGCAGCAGCAGCGCCGATCGGCGTGCCGACGGATCCTCGCCGGCCCGGCCCGCGTATCGCACTCCACGGAGGAACGCGAGCGAGTCCCCGGGCCCACCGTGCGCGCGCGTGTGTGTGTGGGGGTCGTTATCTTGGCGGATTTCGCCTGGTGTGGCCTGGGGATAGCTTTACATGTGCACGGTCAATATTTGTCCGGGTCTGGCGACAGGGATAAGGCGAAGCTTGGCTCTCGCTTTGCGTCGTTTAAACATTAACAGCGGTGCCCGGCTCTGCAGTGTCACTGGGAATGCAGAGCGTACACGTATATATTTGACGCTCAGACTCTGTATATGTATATAAAGGAATGCGTTTAGAATATATATGTAAATAATAAAAAAAACGTGATTTAGAACATAATTTTGGTTCGTTGGATGTAAAGAGTGCAAATGTTTAATTGTTAAACATTGCAAATGTGAAAATGAACGTATTGGGCCCACACACTCCTGCTTGAGATCTGTATATATCTTGCTATGGGGCAGGCCACATTGAATTCCAAAACTGCCCTTATACAAATACTTGGTTTAAAAACAGCTAAGTCATACGTTCTTTTAAATAGCTGCAAGTAAAATATTTGTCGTATTTATATCCCATGATCTACATCAAATATCTAAGACTTTAACTTAATTCAATCGACAAAGGACAGTACATTAAGTATGGCAACTGGATAACTCCCATAACAGGTCAGCACAGACTGGCATTTGTTTGCATAAAAAAAGGTTTTGCAATGAACATATTTAAATATCAAATTTTTTTCAGGAACGTATGTAACCCAGTAAAATATGTATCCGCATTTTTTTTATTTTCTACAACAACAAAAAAAATGTAGAATACAGGAAAAATGTATAGTAATACAAATATGCTTGTATATATTTTTGTAATCTCATTTTTACCCATCGAGTGCCTGTCTTTGACACTAAATTGTCATATTTGCTTACACCATAATTACAAACAAAATATTAATCACTGTGCGCGCACGCAAGACATGCACAAACACACTTATACGTACAACAAAGACCTCATATTTTGCCTTTAACAGACTGTTGGGGCAAGTGCTGTTAGCGTGCACTTATGAAGGCCAGCACAGCACACGAAGGGGTAGGTGGCCACAGCACCACGCCCGGCCACAGATGCACACGCACACATAAACACTGCAACATATGCGCGTACACATAAAGACAAAGACCCCCGTATAGCCTGGAGCTTTTGTCTCCCTCGTAGCGATGTTTACACACTGCACCAGTTACTCATTTGAGGCTGAGTCGACCTAGGGGAGGCCCAGGACTGGTTTAGATAATCGTTACTGGTGTTGGTCGTGAGCGGGAACCGAACTCGGGTCTCCAGGTTCGTAGCGCAGCGCGCTAACCACTGCACCACCGCTCCCCAATATTCGCACTTACACACATGAACATGAGCATGCTCACTAGCAAACAAACAAACAGGAACGTGCACACGCATACACCAACAATTCCAGAGACTCACAGTACACAAAACATAAACATGCACACACCTGAACGCACACTGCATTTGCAATGCTACTTTTGGTGCACAATTACAGTTAACCTTCATGTTATTAAAATGTTAATACATTAAAGACGAGTGTAGGAAAATGATGACTTCCCCTAAACGTTGCATATCGTATGGTCTCACTGCCACCGAGAACCAGTCTACACGGTGCCCAGCCCGTCCACGTCTATCTGTAAATCTACACGCACAAGCAATTGCCAAGCAGCTTGCATCTACCGCCGTGGTGTAACGTTTGGCACATTGGACTTGCAATCCAGAGTTTGCCAGTCGCAATCCATCTCTGCACGACAGTTTAACCGAGAGTGCAGGTTTATTGAATCCCAGCCCCCTGCCTCCGCCTCTCTCCAGCCAGCAGGTCGCGTGTGGTGTGTTAAAGTGTGGGCAACGCCAACCTCTCCCGAGCGTGGAAGATCAGGACAACTGCCGTCGTCTCAGAGGGGTTCTCTTAAGCCACCTCGAGTTGAGGCCCTTCCCGCTGGCAGTTGCGTGAGCGAGCGATTGCATGCCTGGCGACTTTTGACTTTCTTTCATGTATCCGCTCGAGCACAGCCCCTCCTACCCACCGCATCCCACTACATGCGTAAATATTTGATTAAAAATTTTTGATGGCTATCTTGTCGGTGTACACTCCACCGCTGGATGAGGGCCTCGCCACGCCGAGCGGGTCACGGGAAGTTACTTGTCCAAACTTGAGGTTGGTCAGCGAGGGCTGGTGAAGGTTCAAACCGTAGGTCACAGAGCATGGTGCAAGGCAACAAATGGATTTTGCTGCACTGCCATCTGCTGGCAACGTGACCACACATCAGCCTACAACACCTGGTTTTACATGTGATGGTCGCGCATGTAGCTAGCATGAGCCAGGCTTTAACCAGCTTAGCTTCCGGGATTTGACGGAATATATTTCATTGCAAACATCAATTCTCAGACAATTGCTCTTTGCTTACATTCAAACGCCTTTAACATACACAACATATGTTAGTGTGCGGTGTCGTCAAACAAAGCAACATTGACTTTTCAAAAAGGAATATAAAGTGAACACATTTTCTGTGCAGATTTGGGGATTCGAGGTCTCTGGATTTAAAACTGATTACTTTCATATAAAATACTCCTGTAAAACATTATCCAATGCGGGTGTGTATAGAAAGAAGTCTACATTACCAATACGATAATAAATATATGAATTATGATCGTCACCAGCCATGTTTAATCCACTGCTGGATGAATGCCTTGCCAAGCTGTCACCATCTGTCGTGGTCTCACGATGTAACGATGAGGCTAGATCCTGCGAAAGGGTTGATTACATCGCTCCATCTCCGTGGCCGACGTCCGCTGGGTCGTGTCATATCCTTTGGCTGCCATTCCGCCATTAGTCTCGACCACTGGCCGCCATTCCTTCTTGTGTGACGTGTCCTGCCAAGGCTGTATTTTATAAACCACGTCTTTCTCACGCTGCCTCTCCGTTTCCTCCCACGTGTGCACCTGTTCATGCTCCTTTGCGCACTTTTTAGCTTTTGCGTTCCAGTACATTAACCACCGTGACTGAAAATAGAGGGAATTACTCGTACAAGTGCTTGCACCATTATGAATTCTGATATTACGTGAACAATTTATACTTAAAAAATTTAATCAAAATAACGATTGCTCAACACTGATAATTAAACGTGTTGTGTTTTAAAACCAGCCGCCAACTGGTTCATATCCACGTACATGCTCAGGGGAGGGGGCTGGCTTGTGCTGCTATATCGCAGCTCTCTGCGGGCTTGACAGGGGTCAGGCTGGAGGGATGGGGCCTGGTCCACGGAGCGAAGCTTAAGGACAATACCCAAAGGCACACTGGACCCTTCCAGGAACAGCCTGGTTTCTCATCGTCTTGGGAATGTAGCATCAGTGCCGAGCGTGCTAACAACCAGGGTCCACCAGCGCTCAGATGTGTACAAATCCCAATTCTGTATCGAGAGGAAGGCACCGCACCTGTAGCATTCCCTCATTATGTGCCAACTTCGTTATCCACATTTTAGACCTTGAGCGAAGGAGCGTTTACCCTTCCGGAAACTGTTAGTTAGGAAACAGAAATATGATCCGATCACGAGCTTGATACGTGATGAGCTGCACTGGATACCTATTAAATAACGGATTGTGTATAAATCATGCCTACTCCTCTTCAAGAGTCTCCATCAATCTGCTCCGTCCTATCTTGCCGATGAGTGCGTACCAACTTCAACGGATCCAAATCGACCCCCGACTACGATCCGCGGCTCGCGGTGACCTGCTGCCGTACCCGGCGCGCGATGCGATACGGCCAGCGCAGTTTCGGGGTCTCTGGCCCAAATAACTGGAACACCGCTATCAGCTCATTCGGGATCCATCCCTGAGTCTGAGCCAGTTCTGCAAGAGACTCAAAGCGGTGCTTCGGAGAGCCCACTTTAACGTGTGATCAATGCGCATTCGAGATGGACTGGACTCATGAGAGTGCGCAATAACAAATGTGCTTACTTACTTCTTACTTACTACATTTACAGACCCATCAACGAGCCAGAAGTGACCGCACACGCCTCGCCCAAAACAATCCCTCAAGGCCCTGTTCTACCACACAACCAACCTGCTCTCTGCTGCTGCTGCGCAGGTGAGTGGTCGTGTGTGCACCTGCCGAGCGAATCAGCCAGGAGATGCCAACATCATTCAGCACTGACTGGGCATAGACCACCAAATTGGGGCGCCACAGTGGCGAGATGTCAATTATCACGCCTGGTATACAGGAGGTCGTGGGTTCGATCCTCAACCCTGACGCCTGCTGCTGTATATTTGGAGTTTGTACGTTCTCCCCCCGTGGTCGCATTAATTTTTCTCTGGGTCCTCCGGTTTTCCCCTTTACATTGAGAACCAACATCATGCGTTCTCGAGTATTTGGCTGCTATACATGTCCATGTGATAAGCCACTTCCGTTGAGCTATAATTTGGAGCCAGGTCACATCTGAAAAAGCTGTATAGCTCAGTGGGCCTATAACATTTTTGTAAATAGTTCAGTTTTAACTTTCTATGTGTGGGAATCAGATTCATCCTGGGTGGTTGATACAAACCTCGCAGCTCATGGCGCTGACTCAGTGCTACCAATTGTGACACGGTAAAGTATCACAAAACCAAATTCTAAGAGATCATAAAGTGATGTAATTGGTTATTTATCGAATATATTCAATCAATGAGCAAAAAAAATACGCAATGAACGCTTTACATTGTGTTGTATATTACAGCACTGTACAAGTATACGCATATACACGCATACACATGGAGATGTGAGTTTAAAGACACGTGCGTTCTGCAGCATCGATAGATTAGCATAATGCACCCGGTAACACATAATGAGCACTGTATCACAATTTCAAAATGCAATTCTACAATACCAAATATTTCCATGTATATATATCGGACTGCCATAGATGGCTATGCTAAGTAGTCTTATGCAGTATCACGTTATCATATGATACACAATACCAGCGGAATTGCATTTGGAATGGCAGTTCAGAGTCATGGCACTTACACACACATACCAACACAGGCCGCTGACGGGCAATATCATCTGACTGATAATTATGGAATGTCTAATTTACTACTCTGGTGAACGAGGCATCAAAGGCGTATTGCACCTATGCGTATAATAACCTCGCACCTCCGATTAGGACGGTTTGCTACGTATGGCGCGAATGAAGTTCAACATACGTGCATACATATACACAGCAATAATTCACAGTTTTAATAGGTTTATAATGTGGGGTGGAGCACTCAGTTCCTACCTCATTGCACTTGATAAAATTCAACATAGAGTGATCAGGTTGATTGATGATTCAGAACTCACTCTTTCATTTCAATCACTCGCTCATTAGCAGGCAGTCGCATCCTTATCACTCTTGTATTGCTACTACCATTGATACATATTTTATATGAAGTTATAAAAACGACTTGACTTCCCGTCTAATATTTGTGTGGATATGTATTTGAAGAGTAAACCGTGGGAAAAAATACATTCGTTATATCGGTGGGTGATTCCAAAACCCCAAGGTCACTGTGAGGTTGTAAACTCACGTGCCAAGGAGGAGGAGACACGTGGCGACTGAGTAATGTTTGCAGAGCATTCGAAAATGTTCCATTAAAAAAGTCAGTGCTGCAAACTGTGACGTCATGGAATGTAATATTAAAATATTTTTTATGTTTCACATAATGAATGAAGTATCAATTTCCATGGAGTCAAATGCCATTTTATAGTCTACACAGTCTAGGCACGGCGGTATTGGGAATCCATTAAGTCTTTTTCAAAGCTCTTACAAAGCAAGGCCTAAATAAAACAATATTTATAAATGATGAAAAACAATTTACAGCCACATTGAGGCTGCATAAAAGATTACATATATAGAAAGGGGAGTCAGGTACGTTGATGTCCTATTGCGAAGTTATTCACAGCGAGAGTTGAAGATTTTTTTCCATAGGCTGGATTGGATAAACCAGGGGAAAATGTAGATTGGGACAACAGTGGCACATCTCAAACTTGGCGGCAATGGAGTCAGCGTGACATCCGACGGGAATGAACGGCGGCAAATGTGAGAAGAACCTAATTGAGAGGGCCGCGAAGTTGGACTGAAGATAAATATAATTTTTTAAAAACGGCAATTACATAAAATAATTTTGATTTAAAGCTTTCGTGACTGCAGGGATTCATATTCTTGGTTCTTTCGGTAAAGTCACGTAGAAGGGAAACAATAAAATAAAAATATAAAACAATTGTTTTACCGAAAGAACCAAGAATACATAAAAGAAGTTTGCTAAACAATCAGATATATCTTTCGCAGACAAATGGAAAAAAATAGCAAAATCTATATCTCTTGGATAAAAGTGTTTTCGATGTCGAGTATAGTTTCTATATTTTTGCGTGTGTTAATATTTTTGATAAATTCAGAAAGTGTAAATTACCGACAAACATATATTTAAAATCTCCTTATTTTATCCAATATTGCTCAAGAGGCAATTTTCTAAAGATATACAACACACCTTTACTACGTGTTCCCAATAGGTAAAAATAGTCACGTAACATTTAGAAATTTTAATATTAAGCTTACAAAAGCTACAACGGAGACTTTGTAAAATCCCGTCGTGCAACATCCTGATTTTACAAGATGTGCAGAGGAGGTGATGTGTAATTAGAGTGAAAATAAACCACGAGAAAATGGAATACTGCCTAATAGATTGTATGAAGATGCAGATTGCATTAAGCAAACCGCATTATTGATGACAAATCCATTTGAGGAAGCGGGTACTCCACAGCATATATATTAGCTGGGCGTATAAAATATTAAAGTGTAAACATCTTTGAGCTCAAAGATATGACGAACAAGATGCTGGATGGAGTGTTCCAGGTATCGTGCCGAGTCCGCTGGCGCGATGCAGACAGCTCGTCGAACTTGCACAAAGCAGAATTATTCCGTGTACATATATATTTTACAAATCGATCTCATGCCTGTAACCAAATTATGTGCATTACCTAGCGACGGGAAGAAACACGCAATACTCTTTCCACGTAAAGAAAATGAAACAGTTTAAGTAGATTAACTCCGCCTCCCCACGTTCTTGTCAGCGTTGGGCGATTGCTAATCTCCACCGGTGGTGCCGAGACAATTCCACATTGCTACGCCAGGAACTAATCTATCCATAAAATAACGACTGTTGACTTTCGATCTAGAGCAGTCGTGCTCAAAAGCCGGTATTCATTTGAATATCTCCAGAGTATTGGTGTGTCGCAGGGTTAAGTCCCAATTACACTCACAATGTCTTGGTCCGTGAGACTATTGGCTTAATCTGGCCGTTCTAATAAGGATATCAACGATGACCAGGTAATGTTACAAACTAAACGAGTGTCGTGTTAGGCATGTAGTTGCGGTAAAAGCAAACTTTTGTTTTCATCTTAAACAGCGGTAATTCTAACGGAATCAGAAGATGTATAATTAACGAATAATATAATGCACAATGGCATTATGGGTTCAACTTGTCAGCGGAACGTTTGTTGATAGGCACAGTGTTTTATGCATTCTTTATACACCTTGCAAACACTGGCTGCATCATTGTTTCTGTAAGATGTAGATACAAGAAATGTAGTTGAAAAATAAATGTATATATAATACAGTTTGTAAAAATACCGTTGTACTGTATATGGAAATTTAAATGCAAGGATCCTTTGATTACGGTACATCGTTTTGACGACAAGCGCTACACAGGCGTACGGCGCATGGTAGACTGTGTGTGCATGCATATGTGTGTGTGCATCTTGATAATACAGTATATATCGTAGGTCTCAAGTCAAAAATTCCATCGTTAAAGACAGCCGGATCCATCGGGCCGCTTTATACAAAAGAATAAAACGTACGTGCGCCGCATTTGCTTGCGCTAAATTGTTCACTAAAGCACAACGTAACAATGCAAACAATGCATTTGTGCGATAATGGCCGAAACCAGCTTAACGATAAATTAATACCAAGCAATTAATTACTTTGTTCACCAACACGCTCCGTTGAGTACAGTGCACATTTTATTAGTTTTTAAGCTAAATTAGTTTTATTTCTTTTTTGTAAATCCACTCGTTATCCTTTCATTCTTTTTGCCTAATCCAGAATATGCATCGCGAGGGGGGTGGGGGTCACGTTTGTTTTGGGTTTATTTTTTATGCACGAACCACGTTCTGATTTCTCTAATTCCATGTCTGAGGAAGGCACAGCTGTAGGAGTGTAAGCCCCGATTTGGGGCCGTCTGATCCAGGAATCCTTGTTTGGCGGCCGCGGTACAATCAGAAATCTGCACCTAATCTTATAAAGCAAAAACTTGTAGACTGGGCTTTACATTCGTGTGGGCAGGATAATCTCAAAGCCCAAATCTGGCTTCTTACCATGCAATCACAACCTGAGGGCTATACTTTGCTTCTGGAGGTTTCATTTTAGAGAAAATTAACGTGCCTTAAAATGTCATCTTATTAAAAAAAAAGAATACAACTTTTGCTCTATGTTTCACACGTGAATTTTAAAACTGTGTTATATAAACATTTCCTGACGTGTATGTACTAAGGTATGCACACTTCTCAATGTTTTAATGGAAGAGTACTAGAATATATTGGCAGCATTATGAATGCGCGGTTTTTTATTTACTAATTCCATGGTCCAACATCTCCGATGACAAACAAATCCAGCAGTTGATTGCAAAAAGAAACTGGAACTTAATAATACCTGCTTACTGATAATAAAAAAAGCGTGGCTGCTGATTGTTCACGTGCATCTTTTTACCGTGGCTTGTAACATTATTATTCTTTCGTACCAATAAAGTTGAAATTTAAACCGCAACATTTATAAACAAACACATGCTCTGAACACAGAATACACGCTGTCATGTAAATTATATACTGTTGAACACAACGAGCAGCAATTGGGGCAAAAATATATACAAAAAATGTAAGTGATGTGCCCCAACAGTAAACGTTTGTCCTTCTAAGGCACAGGTGCATCACACTGGTTTGCTGGTAATAATCACTTGGGCCCCCAGCAATTATATTGATTTCTTTAACAAAGAAAAAAATATCAAAAACACCAGTGCCTA